TGCTGTGAAAGGGGCGCTGCTCTTACCGGACAGGGCGGCTCGGGTGGCTCGGCTGCAGGGCGGCTCGGCGGCTCGGCTGCTGGGCGGCTCGGCGGCTCGGCGGCTCGGTTGCTGGGCGGCTCGGCGGCTCGGCTGCTGGGCGGCTCGCTGGCTCGGCTGTTGGGCGGCTCGGCTGCTGGGCGGTTCAGCGGCTGGGCGGCTCGGCTGCTGGGCGGCTCGGCGGCTCGGCGGCTCGGCCGTTCGGCTGCGACTGCTGCTGCAGAGACGGCGGCGGCTGCTGCCTCAGGGACGGCAGCGGCCGGCCGCTAGGGGCCGCGTCAGGTGCAGGAGAGGGCCGCGTCAGGGGCGGCGTAGGGGCCGCGGCAGGGGCGGCGAAGGGGCCGCGTCAGGGGCCGCGTCAGGGGCCGCGGCAGGGGCCGCGGCAGGGGCCGCGTCAGGGGCCGCGTCAGGGGCCGCGTCAGGGGCCGCGTCAGGGGCCGCGTCAGGGGCGGCGTAGGGGCCGCGTCAGGGGCCGCGTCAGGGGCCTCGTCAGGGGCCGCGGCAGGGGCCGCGTCAGGGGCCGCGTCAGGGGCCGCGTCAGGGGCGGCGTAGGGGCCGCGGTAGTGGCGGCAGAGGGGCCGCGTCAGGGGCCGCGTCAGGGGCCGCCTCAGGGGCAGCGTAGGGGCCGCGTAGGGGCCGCGTCAGGGGCCGCGGCAGGGGCCGCGTCAGGGGCCGCGGCAGGGGCCGCGTCAGGGGCCGCGGCAGGGGCCGCGTCAGGGGCTGCGTAGGGGCCGCGTCAGGGGCCGTGTTGGGGCCGCGTCAGGGGCCGCGTTGGGGCCGCGTCAGGGGCCGCGTTGGGGCCGCGTCAGGGGCCGCGTAGGGGCCACGTCAGGGGCCGCGTTGGGGCCGCGTCAGAGGCCGCGTAGGGGCCGCGTCAGGGGCGACGTAGGGGCCGGGTAGGGGCCGCGTAGGGGCCGCGTAGGGGCCGCGTAGGGGTCGCGTAGGGGCCGCTAGGGGGGGGCTGCTAAAAAAAAAATTAGGGCAGGGGCGCAATGCGCGTCGGGCAGCTAAAAAAAAATTCGTTATGGTGGGCCCTTAGGAAGGAACGGTCCCATGTAGGAACCCGCTCTATACCATGTGAATTAAGAAAACAGGAATGAAATGACTAAGTGAAAGTTGGGTACAAAAAGCAAACCCTAGAAAACTGTACCCCATATGTGCTACCCCACTATAGCCTACAGTAGCTATGTCATATAAATCTGACAGAAATCTGAGGCGTCGGTGACGACTTCGAACGGCTTCGATGGGTCGGCGATGCGCAGCACAGGAGGGGAAGCAAGAAAATTCTTGAGTTCCTGGAAAGCCGCTTCTGCCTCCTCCCCCCAAACAAAATTCCTGTCCTTGTGCAGCAGGTCGGTCAGCGGGCCGGTTATCCCCGCCATATTCGGGATAAACCGCCTGACGTAATTCACGAATCCGAGAAAACTCTGGAGTTCCGTGACATTCGTCGGGGACTTCCACTCCTGTATGGTCTTGATTTTCGCCGGGTCGATTTTAATGCCGTCGCGCGAGATGACGTGCCCCAAAAACTCCAACTCCTGCTTAAAAAACTCGCACTTAGAGCCCTTGGTGATGAGTCGGTTCTCCTGCAGCCGCTTAAACACTGCATCCAGGTCACGGAGGTGCTGCTCTCTTGTCTTGCTAAAAATGAGGATATCGTCCAAATAGACGATGACGCAACGGTCTAGAAGATCCCGAAAAACCCTGTTCATGGTCAGTTGAAATGTGGAAGGCGCGTTCGTGAGGCCGAAAGGCATCACCGTGAATTCGTAACTCCCGTAGCGTGTGCGAAACGCGGTCTTGTGACAATCGTCGGCGAGGACCCGAATCTGGTGGTAACCGGCACGTAAGTCGATTTTCGAGAAGTAGCGAGCGCCGCGAAGCTGGTCAAGAAGGTCGTCGGTGCGTGGGATTGGGTAGCGAGACTTGATGGTCACCCGGTTCAACGCGCGATAATCGATGCACATGCGAAGCCCACCGTCCTTCTTCGGAGTGAACAGGATCGGTGCTGCGAACGGGGAGGTGCTCGCCTGAATGAACCCTTTCTCCAACGGTGCGTCAATTTGTCGGCGCAGCTCCTCGAGTTCCGGCTGGGTCAACCGCCACTGTGTCCGAACAGTTGGCTGCGCGCCAGGCTCCAACAGGATTTTATGGTCTTCGGGTCTCTCGGGTGGCAGCCCAGGTGGCAGGTCGTCCGGGAAAATGTCGGGGTACTGTCGAATCAGCTCCGCTAAATCCGGAGGTACAGCTGCACACAGCTTCTCAATGTCCTTTCCGTCGGTGTCGACTGCCAACTCGCGTAAGCAGACAGCGAACAGCTGCGCGCCCTTGTTGAAGTGGCGAGCTATAGTGATGGCTTTGACGCACGGGGCTTGGATGTAGTCAGGTGTCCATGCAGGCAGCCGAATTAGCCCCTCGTGGTTGCTGATGCTGCACGATCCCGTTGTCCAGTCGATGACGGGGTTGTGTCGTCGCAGCCAATCGCGTCCCAGCAACACGTCGCAGCCGTCCAATGTTGTCGCGAGAAACTTCATGCTGAAGCCGAAATCGTCGCCGCAGTCGATCCTGACCGTCCGTGTTTCTTCCGTTATCGCCAGAGGCGTCCCATCCACGAGGCGTGCGTCGATTTCGGGCAGACACCTGTCAAGTTGCAGCTTGCATCTTTTTGCGCTCGCCAAATTGAAGAGGCTATGGCTGGCCCCTCCATCGACGAACATTTTCAAATTATTTTTTAACACCTTGCCAGCGACCAGCACAGGGTGATCCACATGTGTATCCCCGTTATTCGGCCGAGTGTGATCGATTGCGTGAATCGGAACCACGACTCGGTGGGGATGATGGTGTTCGGGCGACGGAGCACAGTCAGTAAAGGGCTCGCTAATTACTGACTCTTCCCATTTCCCTGCTCCTTCCTGTCGTCCCCTGTCAGCGGCATTTTCTCCTGGCAGTCTTTCCTGTAGTGACCCACCTTCCCACACTGAAAACACGGACCCTTAGGAGGGCGGTCGGGTGTATGGACGGCGTTGATCGTGGCCCGATGGGTCTGGCCACGAAAGCTTCTCCCATCCCTGGAAGCTGCTCTCGCGTACTGCATCAGCGCATCAGTTGACTCCGCCAGCCGTACTGCTTCGAGAAACGATGTCGGGCGGCCCCTGCGAACCTCAAACTGTATTTCGTATTTAAGGCCGCTGACGTACTTATCCAACCGCTCTGCTTCCGACATGTCGTCGATTTGGTCGGCGAAGCCCATAAATGACGCCGTGTAGTCTTGGACAGAAGCCATCTGCGACCATGCACGCAGCTTCATGCGAGCTTGCTCCGAGGCGGATACGTGCTCGAAGCGATCTCGTAAGGCTGCGCCCCAGTCCTTCCACGTGCGTATCTTGGTCACACCGAAGATTAGTTTTGCCACTTGATTAACCACTGTAGAGGTCCCGTCTGCCGCATGTGTCACACCTGTCGGCGTCCCTGTTTCCAAGGTCCGGCGCCACCATTCAAGCACTGCACCTCGAAGAAGCGAAACCGCGTAATTAATACGCGTGGCGTCGTCATTAACTCCGGCTGCAGTGAAAAAGGCTTCGACCCCGAACAGCCACCCTTTTACCGTAACCGTCTTGTCCGTAGGATTAAACGGGGGCGGGTTGGCGGGCTCTATCTTGATCGTCGTCACTGCAACTGGCGCTGCTGCCGCTCGCTGCCTATCTTCTTCTTCGAAGTCATGTGTGAGCGCATCCAGCGGATTGCTCATCGCTTGACTGTTGCCCTCGCCTTCGTCCACAGGCGACTCCTGACGCGCTTCACCTCGCGTCTGGCGTAGCTCGGCGTTTTCCTCCCGTAACGTTGTCACTTCCGCCATTAATGATTCCATGCCCTGCTTCATTTCTGCCACTTGCGCCATCAGCCGGTTAACAGCCTCCTGATCCATGTGCCTAGCACTACGTCTGGTGGGCAGTCGGGTACCCGTGGCCTCCCGGCAAGTGAAAACACGAACTATCGGAGTCGGGCAGGATTGAATTAACAATCCCTGCAGCCAACCGTCGTGTAGTCACTAAACCAACCACACCCGTGCCACCAAACTACCCTCGAAAAAGCGGGGTGAACTAGGAAAGTAGCTCTGATACCAGGTGTTATGAGTTGTAAAAGAGAGTGCGCAGGTAAACGAATAACGAGGCTGTGACTGAATGAACTGCGAATACAATGAATGCACAGACTAATGTAGGGCTAGCCTAGCTAGGAGGAAACCTCGGACAAGCGAGGTTGGGTGCAGGTTTGGCGATGGAAAATGCCGAAGGCGACGCGAGGAGCCTCGGCAGCGTTGAAATCGGCCGAACGTGCGAACTCCGAAAATCGGGTTGTACGTGAAGCAGTCAACCCCGATGATTCGGGAAAATTCCTTACAGACCTGTACACCAGTTGCACCGGCAATCCGCAAGTGTTATCATTTTGTTCTACATAAGATATGTACTGTGACTAATTATCTCCCGTAGCTGCCCTCTCACACAGCCAACAGATCAATAATGCATCTTACTGCACCAATGACAGCCAACAAAACACAATTCAACGACCATATCCGAAGCCAGAATTGTATCGTGCTTCCTTTCTTCGCTGTCCTGTTTCAGGCCCATGCATCACAATACCCCCGAACAACCCATTTCCTTCAACCCCACCTCCCAGCTCAATCACCCCAGACGTGTTCCCTGCTGCTCCAGAACCTACAATCCCTCCCAATCCTCTCCTTCCTGTTGTCTGGTGGTGCTGGAGCAACAGCATCTGCGCTCGTTCCCTCTCCCTTGCCTCCCTTGCCACCCTTTCCGCTCTTAAAGCCTCTATGCTCTTCTTCCCATGCTCCGCAGCACCACCCTTCAAGTCACACCTCATCCCTTCTTCTGTAGCTCCGCCTTCCTTCCTCCTCCTTCTCTCTGTCCCTTTTTCATTTCTGGCCTTCCTCCCCCTTGTTGCTCCTAGCCCCCTGCGTGTCTCCCTCCCCTGCCTCTCCCCCACGACATGCTCCTTGCGTTGACGCTGCCCACCCCTCTCCATGGATCTATCCCTGCCGCTGCGCCTGCGCCTGCTCCCCTGCCTTCTCCCCACTCGACGATCACTGTCACTGTCCGAGGAGGAGGAAGATGGACTCTCGGAGGGAGAGCGATCAGCGGAGGAAAATCGCTTTTTGATGTGATGCTTCTTAAGGTGCTTGCTGGAACGGCGGTGGTGCTGCCGGTTATCATCACCGTCGCTGCTTGCAAGGGATGAGGAGGAAGAGGAGTCTGGCGAATCAGACTGCCGCCTGCTCCTCTGCTTCTTTCTCGCTCCAAGATCACTGTCGCTGTCCGAGGAGGAAGAAGGACTCTCAGGGGAAGACCGATCAGCGGAGGAAATTTTCGCTTTGACGAGCTGCCGCTTACGGTGTTTCCTTGAACTGCGGTGGCGGCGGCGGTGGTTATCATCGTCATCGTCGCTGCTTGCAAGTGAAGTGGAGGAAGAAGAGTCTTGCGAAGCAGATCGCCTCTTTCGGTGCTTCCGCTTCTTCTTGTGCCTCGGACTAGACATGTCCTCATCGTCATCACCATTGTCGTCTCTAACTTCGTCTTTTGCAGGGTGAATTTCTGTTGGGCGAATGACACGCAAATCCAGGGGAGGAAAAAGATGAGGCAGAGCCAAAGCAGCCAAACAATCTCTGGAAAATTTCACGAAAAGGGGAGGAGTAACAACCGAATCACAAAATATTAATTAAAACTGAAAGAATAGGGTGTTACAGGCAGGATGAGCATACCTTTCCCAGGTCCAACCTTCTTTCCTCTTTCGGAGTCCAACTTTTGAGGCACCTGAAAAGTCACTCTTTGTGAGTCTGTTTTCGCTTCCACAGGTCTTCTCTTTCCCACTGCCCTGCTTCCTGCATCCCCCTTAATCTTCCCCGCCTCTCCTTCCCCATCCTCCGCTGTCAAGTCACCCGCTCGGGCATACCACGGCTGCTTCCCACCCTTCCCCACCGCTCCGTACCCTAATCTATGCTTTTCCTCCTCCCCCGCCTTGTGCTCCTTCTCCCACACCTCCTGCGCGCGACCGGGCCTCACCGCGTCGCTCGCCTGCGCGCCTGCACCGCACGCTAGCGCGGAGAAATCAGCCGAGTCTAAGCCTTCGAAGAGGTTTATGTGACCCGCGTTAAGCGCGCCAGCTTGCGGAACAGAGTCGCGTGAGCTTATAGCGAGAGATTCGGTCAAACGGGACGAGTCCGCATCCACCACTGCATGATGTTCTGCCGCCCATGGTTGCGCCGCTTGGTCCTGCGGGGGAAGCAGACGCTCCTCCGCCGCCGCCTGCTGCTGCGGAAGTGGAAGGTGCTGCTGCCGCGCGCGCGCGCGGAGAGTCTGAAGGCGCAACTCGCTGTCGCGGAGGCGCTGCTCTTCCGCCAGCGCCTGCTCGCGCGCAGCCTCCTCCGCCTCGTCCTTGCGCACCTTCTCCCGGTTCTCGTAATTGTACACGTTCCACCGCTTCTGCGGAAGAATGTTCAACCCCCCGTGCCCCCCCATCGCGACCACTTACTCCAGCTACTGTGTTTTTCAAGCGGGGTGGTTGCACGTGTTATGAGTGCAAGCACTGGGGACTAGAAAGCTTGGTTGCATCTACCCGACACAGAAATCCACGAGAAATGTCCCAGGCCGCGTTCTGTTGGCGCACACTAGTGAGTGACCGGTGGCTGGATGGTTCCACGATAAGTGCGAGGTATCCGAACCTGCCCTGCGTGAATCTGCGGTGCGCCCATGGGTACAGTAACCGAAAAAACCCTACCAAAGGCAGTGGTTTGGGAAAACAAAGTGGTTTGGGCAAGGTAATTAAAAAAAGGGGGGTGGTTGCAAAGTTGCTTCGTCATCTTCGACAATCTTCGCTGAACCGGCTTCTAGTGAAACCCGCAGTGCTTGTGCGCCAAAAGTACGCGGCCCTTCCACGAACCTTCAGAATTTCGAACATTCTGCTGCAGTGGCGATGGCTTGTGCGCCAACAGAACGCGGCCTCCACCTTCAAACCACCCCGTCCATCCACCATTCACCCCACCAACTGCACTACATTCTCAACTTCCCTCACTCTCTCCACCGCATCCGCTTGTGCTGCAGCCTTAGGCCTCCACTCAGCTCCAGTCAACCAGAACAGACCACAGGCAAGTAGGACCCAATGTTCTAGCGTTGAACCCGCGTTATGGCGAGATGCTCATAGCTGGTGCTCTTTCCGTTAGCCTTTTTTTCTTATGTGGGTTACAGGTTGCCTCCACTCGTTGTGTGAATTCGATCCTTCGTTTGACCTAAACGCGCGAATCGTTACATTATAGCATTCTCTTCTCCGTTCCGTTGCCATAGGCGCTACCCTAGCCACTTCGTTACTTGCCGTCCCCTTAGTCTTCTTCCGGTGCGTCCGATACACTTCTGCTGAGAGCACACAAGTGCTTCATTACTCGTCGCCTTCGCCGCGTTTCTCCTCCTCCCCCGGTCGTATCCCTTCGTCAACCTATCCTCCGCGTGTGCCCTCGCAAACGCTCCGACATCGCGCATCTCCTGTCCCGCATCAGCCGCCGCCACTGCATGGCATGGTCGCATGAGCTTATGCACCCCCACCCCCACCACCGACCTGCGCGCGCACACGCCAAGACCACCCGCCCCCCCGCCATGTCTCGCCAACACGTCAGAGGCCACTCGTACCACGAGGCGCAGAGGCCGCACCCCGCGCAGGGCTCGTCCGCCGTGCCCGTCACGGGCGGCGAGCGCGCCGCTGCAGCGGCGGCGCGCGCAGGCGGAGCGGAGGCCGCAAGGCCCGTGGCGGGCAATCTAGAGAGCTTCCTCGCGCACGTCACCCCGCACGTCAAACTGCACTTCCTCCCCCAGGTACCGCCTCCCCCAGGTACCGCCTCCCCCGTTCTCTCCCACAGGTACCACCCTCTCCCTTTCTTTTCCCAAGTAACTCTCCCCTGCTCCCTTCCCCGTATAATGCCTTCCCTCTCCCCCCCCCGCTCATCTCCCCACCTCTGCACTCCGCGCGCCTCCCTCCTCCGCCACCCCCGCGCGCAGGACTGGTGCGACGAGCACAGCAACGGCGCGCGCGCCAAGGCCCCCCCCGGCGCGCCTCCCGCGCCTCCCGCGGCGTTCTTCGCGCTGAGCGACCTGTGGGACGCGCTGGAGGAGTGCAGCGCGTACAGCGCCGCCGTGCCGCTGCACCTCCCCCCCACAGGCGCGCCCGCCACGCAGCACTACGCGCCCTCCATCTCCGGCCTCCAGCTCTTCTCCCGCCTCCCCGCGTCCGCCGCGGGCCCCCCTGCGCCCGCGGGCCCCCCCGCCCCGCGCCTGCACTCGCGCAGCCCGCTGGAGCAGCCCAGCCTGGCGTCGTCCCCCCACTCCCCGCACTCCCCCCACTCCCCGCACTCCCCGCACTCCCCCCAATCCCCCCACTCCCCGCCGTCTCCCTGGGAGGCGTATCTGGAGGAGGGCGGCAACGGGCGGTGCGAGGAGGGTGCGGAGGCGTGGTGCCGTGATTGCAGCGGCGGGCGTCCGCTGCTGGAGTTCTTCGAGCGCACACCGCCACACTGCCGCCCGCCGCTCTACACCAAGGTGCCTAACACTAACACACGCACTGCCGCCCGCCGCTCTACACCAAGGTGCCTAACACATGCACCGCCACGCCACACTGCCGGCCGCCGCTCTACACCAAGGTGCGGAACACGAACACATGCACTGCTGCACACTCCTTGCCTTCTTTTCTTCCCGCATGCCTAGCCATGAACGTTGCGTTTGCATCGCTGGTTTGTGTTGCCCCAAAGCATCGCTTCTGCAGCCAAGGCGTGTACTGTGCATGCCTCAGCTTGGGCTGCCCATGCGCCGCTGCTCCCAGAGTGGGTGCCGCTCCCTCCCTGTGTGTGCCGCTCCCTCCCTGTGTGTGCCGCTGCCTTGCCTTGCATGCCCCTCTGCGGTAGGCGGCAGAGGGAGCGGGCAGTGCGAGCTGAAGCGGGCAGTGCGAGCTGAAGCGGGCAGTGCGAGCTGGAGCTGAGAGCGCGCGATTGAGTCAAGCCAAAACTCGATTCCGTGCCGCTGGTCACTGTGTGCCCTCCTTCCCTGTGTATACACCCCCCCACACATGCCATGCCATGCCTTCCCATGCCATGCCATTTGATGCCATGCCATGCCATGCCATGCCATGCCATGCCATGCCTCACGACGGCAGGTAGCGGAGTTGGAGAGGGAGTGTGAGGTGTTGAAACGCACCTCGAGCTTGCAGCTGCATCCGCGCAGCTGGATCGCCATCGCCTGGTGTGTGTGCCTGCCCGCCCCCTTTGCAAGGGGGTGCTAGCTGGAGGAAAAGGGGGGGCTAGCACCCCCTTGCACCCCCACCTTACTGCGCTCTGCCACGCACTGTCCCTTGTGCCACATCGTGCCGCCGCGTCCCCTCTTTCACCACACCCACCCACCACAGTCTCTGCACTGCACCCACACTCTCTGCACTGCACCCACACTCTCTGCACTGCACCCACTCGTTCCCCGATTTCCGTGTCTCCCCAACAATGCCCTCGTTCGCCGCTCCCGCACCCCTGTCCCGTCCCACTGCCATCACGTTTTGAGACGACTCAAAGCTTGCACGCACACCCATGTTCTGTGCATGCTCCCCCCCGTCCTGTCCCGTCCCACTGCCATCACGTTTTGAGACGTCTCAAAGCTTGCACCCACACCCATGTTCTGTGCATGCTCCCCCCCGTCCTGTCCCGTCCCACTGCCATCACGTTTTGAGACGTCTCACAGCTTGCACCCACACCCATGTTCTGTGCATGCTCCCCCCCGTCCTGTCCCGTCCCACTGCCATCACGTTTTGAGACGTATCACAGCTTGCACCCACACCCATGTTCTGTGCATGCTCCCCCCCGTCCTGTCCCGTCCCACTGCCATCACGTTTTGAGACGTCTCAAAGCTTGCACCCACACCCATGTTCTGTGCATGCTCCCCCCCGTCCTGTCCCGTCCCACTGCCATCACGTTTTGAGACGACTCAAAGCTTGCACCCACACCCATGTTCTGTGCATGCTCCCCCCCGTCCTGTCCCGTCCCACTGCCATCACGTTTTGAGACGTCTCACAGCTTGCACCCACACCCATGTTCTGTGCATGCTCCCCCCCGTCCTGTCCCGTCCCACTGCCATCACGTTTTGAGACGTCTCACAGCTTGCACCCACACCCATGTTCTGTGCATGCTCCCCCCCGTCCTGTCCCGTCCCACTGCCATCACGTTTTGAGACGTCTCAAAGCTTGCACCCACACCCATGTTCTGTGCATGCTCCCCCCGGTCCTGTCCCGTCCCACTGCCATCACCCCTCACACGCCCATCCCCCCTGCGTGCACAGGTATCCCGTGTACAGCATTCCCACGGCCTGCCACTGTCCCTCGTGCTCCCTCCCCCGTCTCATCCCACGTGCCCATCCCCCCTGCGCGCCCATCCCCCCTGCGCGCCCATCCCCCCTGCGCGCCCATCACCCCTGCGAGCGAGCGCAGGTACCCGGTGTACAGCATTCCCACGGCCGCCACCACGCGGGACCTCGCCGCCTCCTTCCTCACCTTCCACAGCCTCTCCTCCCCTCTGCCCTCCTCCTCCGGTCAGCCCCTTGCCTCATCTGTCAGCAGCCCCTTGCCTCATCTTTCAGCAGCCCCTTGCCTGAATGATCAGCAGCCCCTTGCCTGATTGATCAGCAGCCCCTGTCATTGTCGCGCCTTCTTTTTCAAGGCTGAAAAGAGAACTCGGATGCTTTCTTGCTCGCTCCTTGTGCTGATTCCTTGCTTGTGTTCCCTCCGAAGCTGCATCCCTCCCAAGCTGCATCCCTCATGAGCTTTCGTACTCATCGTACATGCTTGCATGTCAAAGTAGCTCTTCTATTTGCCTGTACCTACCTGCTCTCACCCTCTCTCTGCACCCCAGGGTCGTGCAGCCTCTGCAGAGCCAGGTTCTGGATCGCGCCGCCCTCCTTGCCCGTCTTCCAATCCGCCAAGCACTTGCCCGCCCGCCCATCGTCGGATTCAGCTGACGGGGCGAGCGAGGGGAGGCAACGGGGGGTTTTCACGACGCCTCTGGTGCCGTTTGGCTTTGCGGGGTACAAGACGTGGGGGACGGTGTGGTCAGACCGGGGGGCTGTGCGGGGCTTGGAGGTGGCGGCAACGCAATGGCTTCGGCAGATTGATGCGAACCTGCCCGACCATGCCTTCTTTTCCAGGCAACGATAACCGAACAGAAGAGCGTAACTTGTTTTATTGCACATTTATTGGTGCTTTTTATGTTAACAAGTGAACGACCGACAAGAATGAGAGCATACTGGATATGTACGGGAGCAGTCCATATCCTCTATAACACAACCAAATCTAGGCTACAAAAAAGCGTGCAAATATTGTTAGAATGAAGAAAATAGTCGACCAGAATGGGAATGTACAGTCAGGTAATGCCAGGGCCTTTGCTAGGATTTAGAACATCCTGAGGCCCTGCATGTACGCCCTTCGGGCATGGCTGACGGTTCAAAAAAAGATGACTGATTTTTACCCCCATTTTCTCCCCCCTCAGCTCTGCCTGCCGCAAAATGGCTACCTGGAGCACACAATTTGAGTTCTTTTATAGCAGTCGTGTCAATGCTATTTGTAATATCTACACTTTGGTATTGGTGTGGTTGGTGATTATAAAGTATTCAAAGCCACAAAGCCCCGCATTTCTCGGCTTCCTCATCGCGCCTCGGATCGCGTTGCTACTTGAGAAACGCGTTAGCAGCAAAATTGATGGCGAGGTGAAACAAGTTACCGTACGGGAACGTATTGCGTAGTTTGAAACCTCGGTCGAACACATAAATGCCATTTTGAACCCAATGCTTTTCATACGCCATGATCACCATACTTGGCGGCGTGAATAGCGGTGGCAGAGGTGAAGATTACCGTACTGGAACGCATTGCATTGTTCAACACCCTGGTCGTACCCATGAAATCCAATTTGACCCCAGGTTTTTCATGTGCCTTGATTTGGATGTCTTGTGGCATAAATACCGCACTCCTGGAACATAGCATTCATCAGAATCATTCCATCTCCTTTCTCCTGATCGCATCTATTTCTCTCTGATCTGTCAATCCGGTCTTCCTTTAGGCCATCATGGCAACGTTTTTCCGCCTCGCGAACATTGTCCGCGCCATGCTGGTGTTGGCGCTGGCGCTTCTCCTCGCATCCCACGGTGAGTTGCGCCTCCCGCCGTGCCCAAGCGTTCCAATACTATCCCTGTTGTCCAGTGTTACCTGCAGTATGCAGCCGCACTACGTCGTGGCACCTCCGTATTCTCCGGTTTCAGACCTACTACTTGGTCCCATTTGAGCATCGATGCTGATGCTTTGCGTTTGGAAATGCGGATGCGTTGGAACTTATGCTGCTCTTCAACATATATTTGTAAATAACATCCTTAACACAGTTCCGTTGGCGGCGGGGAGGAAGAGCATGGTGGATCTCGCGGAGCACTACCAGACTCGCGGCGAGACGTGCGCCGTGTTGCTGAAGCGATACTACGCAGGCAAGCAGTTCAAATTCGCGGCCCTCAACAACGGCCGTCGCTGCGAGGACCCGATCGCAAAGGACACGATTATCCGGGTTGTGTGAGCGCGCTGGTGACGACCCCAATTTTGAAAATCATGTTAATTCAAAAATCTGGCGGGATCCAACGTCGTCGTACGGGACGACGACACCTGCCAGTGGGAGGTGATAGCTGAAGATGGTGGCTGGCTTTGTTGTAGCATAGTTGCACTTTATCATATTGTGACACGACTCTCCGAGGAGTGTGCAGCGCAGTCGTCATAGCATTACAAATCTCAATTATACAGCACACTCTGATAGGCAATAACAGTTGGTTCAACCATAAGCTACAAGAACAGTCTACGATAAAAGGGGGTTGGGAGGGAGGGAAGCAAATCAAGATCTGGAAAATGCAAATGAGGCTAGGTGGCAGGTCTGAGAGACCTGCAGGAATGTCAAGGAGTTTGTCTCCTTTACAGCAAACTCCTCTACTAGTCGAATCACAATCCTCAAATTTTTTATCTTTAAATTTTTTTACATATTGTGACACGACTCTCCGAGGAGTGTGCAGTGCACTCGTCATAGGTAAGCGAGACATCATATCGAGGGAATGTGACGATGACGTGCGAGGGTGGATGCGTAACGATGGGTTGGACTAGGACGCGTCGGGTCCTGAAGGGTACGAGACGCCACCACCAACTCGCGATCGAGTTGAGTGACATACAACTCACGAGCCTTGTCGCTACGCCATCGGCCGAGAGCCTTGAAGAGTCGATTGGGAACACCCACATCGACTGCCACAGTGGCCGCCGATTTGCGGAAAGAATGCGTGCCGAGGACATTCGGGTTGAGGCCGACCCGACAGAATGCCTCGCGACACCAGCTTCTAACCGTGGCATATGAGGGGGATCGGTCCGACGGCGAAGCGCGAGCATTAGGCGGGAACACCCTGATCAGGGCGCCTAATGTCTGTGAAGAGAATCCCGCGAGGAAAAGAAATTGTTGCATGCGGGCGACTGGGCAGTGACGAGCAGTAGAGGCGGCAACTGGGACCCAGGCACCTGATCCAGCCTGATCCGTTTTGGAGCGGGGAATGAAGAGCCACATGCAGTCACGATCGAATTCGATCTGGTGCCACTGGAGGGCGATCAGGTCGGAGAAGCGCAGGAAGGCCGCGAACATCAAAAGGGGAATGAGACCGCGCTGGAACGTGGCGGGATCCGACGACGCGAAATAGATGTCGCATATGTCGTAGATCTTCGCCGGGGGTATCGGTTCCTTTGCTAGTGAGGGTTTGCCACAGTGGCGCTGCGCATACTCCCGCACTTGTGAAGAAAGTGGTCCTCGAATAGGAGAAGGGCAGCCGACCAACCAATGGGCACATGAGATTGCGGAGCAAGCGGATCGCACGGCCGATACGGTTGCGCCCCTTCGGATCGAGTGTAGTAGGAAAAGAGTCGTTGTCAGGTCAGTAGCGGGGAGGAATGGCAGCGAATGCTCGTGACAAAAGGCGCGATATTGTCGCCAGTATGGTTCGTATGTGCGAATGGTTGATTGAGCGCGCAAGTCGACTGTGAGTGTCAAGAGGTCCATCATCAAGCGTCCAATGTAAGATCCTGCATGTTTACATGACTATGCATTAGTATATATCAAACGGAGTGCATACATGTGCGAATGGGGAATACCGGCACCACTAAAAGCCTGGGGATCGCTACCAACACCTAGACATACGGAGCCATGGGCGAGATACATGCTCTCGCGGACATCATTTGCCCACGCGGTGCCCTTTGGGCGCAGCAATGGCCACCAAAAAGAGCTAGGCCACTCCGGGATCACAAGAGTTATCACCGTTCTGGAACGACGGGCGTGAGCAATAACAGCTGGGATTAGGGGCGGTGGGGGAAAGGCATAGCAGTTCTCTCCTGTCCAACTGAGAGAGAATGCATCTTGCACGACAGCCTCTTTATGAAAGTTAAGAGAGCAAAAACGGGGCAGCTGTGCGTTGGACGGCGACGAGAACAAGTCGATAGTGTGTGGGCCCCAGCGATGCTCGAGTAATTGAAACCATGTCTGCGCGAGACAATAGTCATCATGAAGTTCAATTTTTGAGAGCGCGTCAGCCTCGGTGTTGAGCTCTCGAGGGATCCACTGTGCCGTGAGTCGAATCTTGTGGCGCACGCAAAGCGTGATGATGGCGCGACAAATTAGGGTGAGCTCCGCGTGGCGCGAACCACCCTTCTTTAAGATGTAGTAAGCTGCCTGGCTGTCGCTCCGAAGCAACACATGTGATCGCCGAATGTCGCGGCTGAAAGACGCCAGAGCCCACAGAATCCCAGCGAGTTCACGATGCGTGCTTGAGGCGGCTGATAGCGTGCGAGGAAATGGAGAAGAACTTGAGCCGACGCGACCATCCGGCGTAGAGTAGCAGCTTCCCCAAGCATGGTCGCTTGCATCCACATTCATGACCACGTCATAAATGTGCGGATTATGGAAACAATAACCATTGAAGACGTCGAACTGAGTCAGCAAAAATCTCAGCTCGTCAACTGACTCTGGTGTCAAGTAAATGGATTCCCCCCAAGTTTGGCACGCACTAATTTGAGAAAGCAGGTGATGGGAGAAGGCACGAGCGATGGTGCCAAGTGCCAGCGTCATAGAGGCTAGCATGCCTGCCACTCTAGCCACTCGGCGAACTGGGGTACGACGGCCCTGCGTGCTGATTCGGCACAAATGGTCGAGTTCCTCAAACAACCAGCCTCGGCGGTCAGCATCGACAGAGAAGGAGGAGGTGCGAGTGTCTAGCATGAGGCCAAGAAATTTGAGCCGTTGCGAGGGCTCGAGTTGTGATTTCTCCATATTGACGACAAAGCCGGCGGAGCTGAGGTCATCTAGAATGACGGCTCGTGTTCGGATTGCCTCAGCCCAAGTAGCACTGATGAATAGGAGATCGTCCACATAAGGGATTAACCGAATCCCGTTGCTGCGCCAACGCTTAGCAAGTTGCTTGATTAGCTGCGTGAAGACGAATGGAGCTGTGGCAAGCCCAAAGGGCAAGGACAAGAATTGATATTGTTGGCCTTGCAATGAAAATCCGAGGAACCGCCAAAATGATGGGTCGATGTCCACGTGATGGTAACCCGATTTAAGGTCTATTGTAAACAGCCATTCACCCTGACGCACCAGGTCGGGTACCCGATTAAGTCCCTCGTACCGAAAACGAGGAATGGAGAGGAACGAGTTCACGTGGCGAAGGTCGAGAATGAGCCTTTTCTTAGAAGGCTGGACGATCACGTTGAGTGGGCTAATACAAGTAAGTGGCGCGCCAGCCGGGACCATACGCGCTGCGCCGGTGGCCAGAAGGTCGGCCACTGCTTCAGCTGCAAACGCCGTATGCTGTAGAGCGCCCGCATGATTTGGGGCATGGTGAGGGGTGGGTTCGCGAGATCGCCATGGCAGGCGATACCCCGCAGCGACGACAGATAAGATGAACCGACTCGTGCACCAAGTGTTCCACCACATAGAACAAGCTCGCAAGCGTCCTTGCATATGTCGCACAACAGCGCGAGATTCATTCGCGTTGGGCATGTAACCAGATTCTGGTGGGGCATAGAACGGGACAGGAGTGGGATGTCATAAGTAAACAAGCGTATATATTACTACGACATTTAACGATAAAGCGCATTGTACT